CGGTCATATTCGTGCTCGTGTCTTTGATACGAGGCCTGCCTTTAAAAAAAAAACTATAAGCTACCAACGAATATGAATTTATAGTTTTTCAAAATATTCATCCCGATGATTCATAAAAAAACCAATCATCGAAGCACTTTTCCCACATCGTGTCGGGCACTGCTTCTGGTGTCAAAAATCGTTATTCTTAATGTATGGGTCATTAGGTGCTAAATCATTACTATATGGTGGACGGCTCATCAAATCAACGTTGCTTTCTTCTTTGTTTGCACTGATCGGTGAGAACTAGAATTGTCGTCGAGGAGAGTTTTTTTAATTTCTTCGAAGACTTTCGTCAAACAAATGAGTAAGGTCGCGTCAAGTGGACCCCCCACTTACCACTTGATCACGAAACATTAATCTATATGTTTTTTTATAAGTCCTTATGATGGAAAATTAATCGCTCAAACGAATTTTTAAAATTTTGATTTTAACAACATTTTTTTTGTAATGAAAATTTTAAGCACAACCCCACTTTTCCTTTTTTTTTTTTCAGTGGGCCCAAGTTCTTTTTAAAAAAATGGCAACCACCATTCGAACGCTTAACTACAATAATAATACTCGCCAATTTCATTATTACAAACCATTGGAAAATTTTTCACCTTTCAAAAGATGAAAAAGTATTTATTTTAAAACGAAAATAAGTTAAAAAAAATAAATAAAAATAAATGACGACAAATTATTGTTAAAAAAACAAATATTAATAATAGTTATAAAAAAATAACATAAATAATAGTAAAATTTGTTTTATAATAATATTTTGTATTATTATTTTAAATTATAACTGATAAAACCTTCAATGCTGTTCGAGACGCTCGGCAGCGCGGCGCTGTCATAAATAAATTAATTTTGTTTAAACTAATGATAGTTTATGTTAGGGGGTCAACTTGAAGTGATCTTACTCAGATATCAAAAAATTATATTTTATTTTTGAAAAATTTACCACCATGTATCTCAAAAGTTCATATGTTCATATGAAGCTTTCTTTTTTAAATCGCCCCCTTCATTTTTACCTTAAATTAGAAAACACCCTGTATAAACCACTCCCTTGTTAAACCACTAAAAAAGGTACGGATACGGGAATAGAAGTAACCAACATCGAGTACCAAAAATGGCGGCTAACCTAACCAAATATGTACCGATAGGAGCAAAACCATCTGACATGGAACTAGTCATAAGCTTTCATCGAGAATGTAATTATTTCGTAGTGACTCTTAATGAAAATGGAACTGACAACAAAGAAATTAGAACACTAGTACGCCGGGCAGGGACAATTATTGACAAGACTTCCAAAGATTGTCATTATTGTTATGTTATTTGAATTTCAGTTATTGTCAAATGTAACGAATAAATTCAAACTAAGGGCTTTTAATACAAATCAGAGTGAATTGTTATCTAAAGCACGTTGTTCTGTTCAAGTAAAATGCCATATTCTTATTTGAAAATAATTTATTGCAGAATTAAAACCTTCACCTCTTTTACCTTTCTTATGAACACTTCTTGGGCGTATTTTCGGGGTGCTTTTAAATTCGTCGAATCAGTTATACCATGCTCCGACGCCATCGTCCGGAACAATTTGTAACCTTTGCAAGATTTTCTTAGATCACTACCAAACTGCAACTCGTCAACGCTTTCAGTTTCGCTACCGAACGTTAGATGGCGACGCGGTGGCATGTATTTCATTTATGTTTGTTTGAATTTAAACTTTATCCCAGAATTTACAACGAGAGTAATTATCACGGTTGATTATACATTCGTGTATTTCAAGAATTCGTTGAATTTGTTTGAAAATTATGGTTATACAAATGTGATATAATTATTTTAACACTCCACATTCCGAATAATGGTGTGCTAAATTTTCATCTTAAAATCAAGTTTGAATTCTCCTGTTTCGATTTGTCAGGGAGGTCAAGTAACATATTGCTCAGTGGCTGCGCGTAGGAAAAATTTTAAGGCGTTCTTGCAAAAAAAAACTTACCTTAGCTTTTAGAATTATCGTTTTCAAGGAAAACAATGAAGAGCATTTTTTGTATGAATATTTAAAAAATCTCTTCATATTAGTTCGCAGTGTCTATAAATTAGCAATACACAATAACAAAAGCATTTTCATTATTGGCCCCGATATTGCCCACAAATAATTATTTCCACGTGCGTAGCGCCATCTAGCCGGGAGGGGCGACACCCGCCGCAGCACGCTTCGCACACGCTTAACAAACTGCCGCGTCGATGCGTCACCCGACCGACAGATGGCGGGCGTGGACGTACGTTCCGTTCTAGCGGAAATTTTGGAAAATGTGATACGAAACGACGCCATAAACGGCCGCTTTGACGGGATATTTCGGTCTCTCGCGCCTACCGACGGTTTAGCTGCCCGTAACGAAGTTTTATTTACGAGCGCGTACAAAATATAAAACCGCTTAATTAGGCTACGCACTACATCAAAAATAATAAGTTTTTGGTCGGGCGCCAAAAACGATTTGCTGTCTAATGGCATACGACGACGAACGTTTACACGATATATTCGTACGTAATTACCGGGATTTGTACGCATCGCCGAACAAAGACGCCTTTTGAAGTCGAACACGGATTTTGCGCGAGCTCTTTCGAATTTAATTTTCCGAATTTTACGCGGCATTCCGAGGGACCGCGACTAAACGTTAAGGTTTTTCTTATTTTCGTTCCTCGGCCGCTATTGGTGCGGATTCCGAGAACGATAAATACTTGTAAATACGAAAGTTTGATGATTTTTGCTCTATGCAAATGACGGAAAAAACAAACGACGATCGACGTCAGAATGACAGCAACGTCATTTTTTGAAAATGGAATGGTCGATGTATTATTAGTTTAAATCGTAGGTCCTTTTTTCCTGATTTCAAAAACATAGTTCATTGACAATAATTATCATTCGATTTCCGGACTGCTGCCATATTGTTTAAAGACAATCGAGTCTGTCTAGGTAGCAAACCAAATTATCTATATTATAATAAAATCGTCTATGCTTAATTGATAAATGCTACGTTATACTTCTTTAGAACTTTTGATGTGTGGTCAGCGATGTTTTGAATGTAAGGAAGGACCACAGTGGCAAGGGCCGGATTGCTTTCGGCCTCATTGCTATTGGAAGCTTGTGGTGTGGTGTTGCCTAGAAGCAAATCCATTTTTTATACATATCCTCAAACAGTTGCATATAAAGGGCCAAATAAAGTGTTATTTCATTTTATTACTAATTTTATGGATAACGAAGTAAAACATTGGCACATAATATGGGATTTGGGATACTGTTCCACTTATGCCTAAATTTAAAATTACTGAGCCATAAATAGTAGATATACAATTTTCTCAAAAGAAAGATAACGTGACATTTCTTGTTTTTTTTTTTTTCACCCTTCATATAACTGTAAGCATTACATTGAGAGTAGTCACCGAGATAGCACACAATATCCCTAGTATATCTGGTAAATGTCCCATTTAAACCGTTAAAATCACATTGTTTTTATAATGTTTGGACACGAACGAGACAAGAAACGCTATTTTAATAAACATGCCACAGAAAATACGGTCATATAAGTAAAAAAAATAAAAAAACGTAAAAATAATATATTCGTTTATAAGATCGCATTTGACAACACCGTTCGGATGCAACCAATGACGCAACTACTCGCGGTCGTGCCGTGCCGGACTCGCTCGAGTCTCGTCGGCTTCTCCTCCGGCTGGTCGTCCGCCATCTTTTCAGCCTCGCTTTTGTTAGCGGTATACGGTATACGGCGACTTGGCGTCTATTTTGAGTATTTTGTGTGCTTCCAGTGTTTTCATTTCAGTTATTTTTTGTGATTAAGCTTTATGGTAATATATAACAAAAGATTTGATGAATTCTTAGCTGAACGAACCATTGTGGTGTAGTCTACCAACATCATGCCTTTTTTTTTATTATTTTGCTAGGTCAATGAGATAGCAAGATCAGGCGGCGGCGGCAGTTGCGAGTTTGTAAAACAAGCTCCGACCCCGCCGATTTCAAATGAACTTGCAATGAAAATTAATTGGTTGGGCATGAAGAAAAAGCGGAAAATTTCAAAATTAAAATTGGCCAAATTTATACTTGGTAAGTAGGTATTATGTTTTTTAAAAATAAATATAACGTAAATGTAATATAAATGAAGTATAAGAAATATAATTTAATAAAATATATATTATGGCGATTTGTTAGTTGATACTTTTTTAAGCAGTGATTGATTTTTTTGTAACCTATGTACGTTTTAGATTACATATCTCTTTTGATTCTAGACTTCTTCCCGTGTCTTATCGCTTAGTTTTTGAAAACAAAAATAAAATCCACTTTCTCTTCATGATTTTTGAGCAGTTAAATTTATACATATGAAACTAAACTAATTTTTTATTTAAGTAAGCAATATTAGCGAAAATCGCACAGAACAAAATTATATTTTTATTTATATAGAAAAGTTAGTATATTTTTTCAAAAAACGGATCCCAGGATTACCCTGCCAAACTGAAAAGTCATATTTGTTCTAGTTATTTTTTGCCCCGATAGTACCTACTCCGCCTGTGGTAGTGATGGGTGGATCGAGTAGCCCATCACTGCCATTGCCGGTCCCAAGCCCGGATAAAGGAGGAGGGTTGTGGCGTTAGGACTTAGCACCCTATCACACGTAAAACCCCAAATGGGAAAAGCTAGGACAAAAGGCAGAATGAAAATACAGAAACGGAAAAATGGTCCCCGGGTGGAAATCCACACCTTCGATGAAGGGAGCCCCATAGGATACGGGGGGGGGGTCAATTCTGCTTTTGGTCAAACAGCAAACCCAAGCTTACATCTCAACCAAACCAAAACAAAAAACAGTAAAAACAGGAAACTAGTATGTGCCACCTGGAACATACAGGGTTGGCGAACAAAAGAAACAGAAGTCAGAGAGGAATTTAACAAAGGACAAATAGACATACTGGTAATGAGCGAAACAAAAAAGAAAGGACATGGCACAGAGGACATAGATGGGCACCTACACATGTGGAGCGGTATTAATAAAGAAAACAGAGCTAAAGCTGGGGTTTCGGTACTTATCAACAAGAAATGGAAGAAAACCATTACATCATGGGAACCCATTAATGAACATATAATCACAGTACACCTGAAAATGTGCGGCAGATCAATAGTTTTATTAGGAGTATATGGACCAACAAACGACAGCCCCGCTACAGAAAAAATTACATTCTTTGAAACTCTAAAGGAAGAAATTGAAAAAGTGAAAACTAAACAAGAAATATTAATAGCGGGAGACTTTAACGGAAGGACGGGAAATAAAGCACATAACAAAACAGTAGGCCATTTCGGGGAGGACACAATTAATGACAATGGTGAAAGATTAATTGAAATTTGCGAATTAAACGACTTAAAAATTACCAACGGCTTCTATAAACATAAAGACATCCACAAATACACCTGGATACAAGAAACTAGGAATCTAAGATCCATAATAGATTACATAGTTGTTAGGATAACTACAACAATTAAGATACAGGATGTAAGAGTTAAAAGAAGCGCTGAATGTGGAACCGATCATCGACTAGTAGTGGCGTACATGCACTTTCCTTGGTATGGAGTAGCAAAGAAAAACAAAGAAGAGATAGCAAAACAAGAACAACAAAAAGGCAACCAAAACAACCAGGAAATAAAAGAGAAAAGATTTAAAATTCACCTCCTAGAGAAAGAAACAATAAGAGATTTGTACAGACGTAGACTTGATGAAAAACTAATAGAGTTCAATTTTAATAATTTAACAGACACTTACGAACACGTGAAGAAGAGCATTAAAGAGGCAGCTTATGAAGCATTAGGAGAGGAAGACGGAAAGAACAAAAAATATACAGAAGAACTTAGTGAGGAAGCTATTGCAGCTATTCAGGAAAAAAAGCGCTTACACCAAAAATGGCTCTGTACAAATTCGGGAGAAGACCTACAGAAATATAAGGACAAAAACAGAGAAACAAAAAAACTAATTAGTAAAGAAAAAAATGAAAAATGGGATAGACTCTGCCAAAACATACAACAGTATACAGGAGGTACAAGATGCTCGGAATCATGGAGAACAATAAGATCTGTCAGATCAAATACCAAAGAGAAAGTCAATATACAGTTTATCAAAGAAACCGAATGGGAAAATTATTATCAACAACTACTAACGGAGACACGACCACAATTCTGGCAACAACTAACATACCAAATACAACCTAACAACAATCTAAAGCATGTAACAATAGAAGAAAAAGAAATAATAAAAGCCATTAAAGAATTAAAAAACAAAAAATCACCAGGGCCAGGGGGGATAGTGAATGAACTTATTAAGTATGGGTCGGACAAATTATTCAGAATATTGAAAAACATGTTTGAAAGAGCAATAAATGGAGAAACGTTACCAAGGGAGTGGAATACGGCACATATAAGCTCTATTTTCAAGAAGGGGGATCGTAGGAAGTGTACCAACTACAGAGGAATTAGCATTATATCAAGCATGGGAAGACTATATGGAAAGATAATCAAAAACAAAATAGAAGACCAGATAATAGGGAAAATAGGTGAAGATCAAGCCGGTTTCACGGCAGGGAAGTCATGCGTTGATCAGATATATACGGTAAGGCAGACTATCGAAAAGAAAAAAGCTAAAAACAGAGACATCCATTTAGCATTCATAGATATAAGAAAAGCTTATGACTCTATACCCAGACAACAACTTTGGAAAGCAATGGAAGATATTGGGATAGAAAGAGAACTAATAAAAGCCGTAGATACAATGTACAAGAACAACGAGTTGTCGGTTAAAATAGGTAATAGGTACACAAATCGATTCACAACATCAAAGGGCCTACTACAAGGATGCCCTACATCAACAACGTTGTTTAAAATCTATCTTGAGAGGACGCTAACACAATGGAAAAGAAAATGTCAAGGTATGGGAGTCCCAGTACGCGACGACCACTTATACACCCTAAGCTTTGCCGACGACCAGGTGGTCATAGCCCAGGATGAAGACGACTTGAGTTACATGCTCAGAAAGCTGAAAGAGGAATATGAGAAGGTAGGTTTGGAAATAAACTTCGAAAAGACAGAATATCTAACATCAAAAGAAGGGGAAATCGAAGATTTAGAAATAGATGAAAACACAACCGTAAAAGCAACAGACAAATTTAAATACAGGGTAGAACATGTATAAAACAACTGAACTCCATTATATGGAACAAGAAATTAACAAAGAAAACAAAAACAACAATATTTAAGACAATAGTAGAAAGTATAATTACATACGGAGCAGAAACCTGGCTATTGAACAAAAAGAAACAAATCTAAAGTAACCGCCGTCGAAATGGAATATTGGAGAAGGTGTTGCCAACGAACACGCATGGATAGAATACGTAACGCAGAAATCAAGAGGCAAATGAATGTAGAAAAAGACTTATTAACTACAATAGCAGAAAAACAGCTTAAATGGTATGGTCATGTCAGACGAAGTGACGATAGACGGTGGATAAAGAAAATCACAGAGTGGAGCCCTATGGGACGTAGAAAGAGAGGAAGACCCAGAAGATCGTGGAGGGATGAAATAGATGAAGCCATGGAGGAAAGGGGGTTGGAAGACGGAGATTGGAATGACAAAGATCAATGGAGAGTCTGGTTGAGAGAGGGAAAACGGCGCGAGCTGTAACAAACCCCATATATATATGATGGAGGTGCCATCCAGCCATATAGAATATATAGTACCTACTCTGATGAAAGAGGTCTTACCGATGAGAGTTTAGTAAGGTTTGTATTTAATGAAATGAAATACATAAATGTATATCCAAATCGAGCCTTTACATATAAGATATCAGTCTCGTTCTTTTTATGTTGTTTTTTATAAAGTACAGATATATAAAGTCTGTCTTTCTCAAAACTAAAATATTTTCAGATGCGGATAAGAAGGCAAACGCATCACAAACATCAAAAGAATGTGAGAACTCAACAGCTGGTTGGTTGAAAAAAGCTACTTTCATCAAGGAATGACGGAAAACCTTTCTTAACTTAAACTAACCAAAACTAACCAAAACTAACCAAAAATAACTAAAACTAACCAAAACTAACCAAAACTAACCAAAAATACTTATTCTTTTAGAGTATAGTTCAAGATATAGTATCTTGCTCTATATTAAAGATACTTTAGGTTAGGTTGTTCTATATTTTTGCTATATTATGTAACTACAATTATTTCATATCTACAATACAAAAAAATCAGATGTGTATAAAATGTTTTTTATTAATGGTATCAATCGACAGTCCTTCACTTTTACTATCAAAAGCAAAATTGAAGATTAATTGGAAAAAACTTTTTACGGACATCATTGTGCTATTTGGGTAATATCTATCTCTCTATCTGCCTATTTCGATATCTATGTTCAGAAACACCCCGCCATCCCAATTTTGTCGTTCCAACTTGATTTAACCAGTTTTGTCCCAGTGGTGCGTTAACGCGCCACCTATTCTATGATATTTTTGTCACATCCAGCAAATATTTTTGCACGTCCATTTAGAAATTTTATTATTATCACTACTAAAAGACGTAAAACCGTAGAATTTGTATCACTTTTGAAGTAAATCCAAAATAGCAATAAACAAATTTTTGTTTTTGTCTATAGCAGGCAGATTACATCGCAGAAAACATACTATATTGATTATGCTTGTGACTACTGGTGCGTACTGGTTTTATCTGTGAAAGAAATCTTTATTATTGCAAGTCTGGACCAGTCAGCGCATATAGAATAAACATCCAACAATTAGCGTGTTCTTTAGTATTAGTTTGTGCTTTGTGCAGTGAAAGTTACAGTTCGTAAAATATCGCTTTCCCGAGGTATTTGACTCAAAAGGAATTAGGGGCGGCTATGGAGGAGATCGTGATGGATGAGGACAATAACAACGAAAGTCGTAAGTATTATTTCGATTTACGTATTGTTATGTATTGTGGCATTGCATTCTTTGTAAATTTGTGCTATATTCTATATTCCACCCGACGTGGATTCCTTGACGAAGAAGATATGAACGATAACATAAATCTGGGGAACCAACTGATATAGTTGCAACTTTCGAGTTACATACACCGAATGATACAGTTGTCCTTCAACAAGGAATTGATCTTATAAAAAAATGTATGAGCCGCAATAGATTCCAATTGATAAAGCAAAACTTGCACTTATCTGACAATAATCTGTTGGATAAAAATGATAAATTTTTTGATGTAATAAATAAAAAAAAAAAGTTTGGCATATTTTCTTTCAATGTATCCATAGATTGTATAAATTATGTATGTATAAATTATATGTTACATCTTATGTCCACAAAACATTATTTATTTTTTTGTATGTTTCGAGTTTTTTTTTTGACACATGTAATGTATTCTTAAGTGCAACAAAATAAATAATTTCAGAGCAAAAAAGCATTTTTTTATTTTATTATTAATTAAAGGCTTACTGCCGCTATTTGCGAAAGCACTATACGCCACGCGTTCCCGATTTTATACCGAGACGTTCCAATGTGCGGCAATATTTAGAACGTCTTATTTACGGCTGCCGACGACGCACATGTTCGCGGCCGGCTTCGGAACCATCGGACCGTCAAATGACAGATCCGCGCAGCTGGGAATTTTAACGACTAACAAATTGTCGTATTAGTGCGGCGCGACTTTTTAACTGCCGAACGGTAATTGGACGTGGATGGATCTATGGATATACGCGAACGGGAGACGCTATACGAGGTGCGTTCAAAAAGTAAGGTGACTTATAACCATAACAATAATAATAATAATAATAATAATAATAATAATAATAATAATAATAATAATAATAATAATAATAATAATAATAATAACAATAATAATTATAAGCCCTATATGGTTTATCTTGAGCCTGAATCCCCTCTCCTGGGCCTTAAAAAGATCGAACCCAGGATACGAGCTGAAAATTGGAGACCAAACGTATAAACTAAGCCACCTCTTTTACGTTGACGATCTGAAGCTATATGCGGGATCTGAAAACACACTGAACAGATTAATCCAACTCACACAACAATTCTCAGATGACATCAAAATGAGATTCGGGTTGGACAAGTGTGCCAAACTTATAGCTCATAAAGGTATACCAAAAACTTATGATAAGCTGGAATCTGAAACCGAAATAATGTATCTTAACAACGCGTATTATAAATATCTAGGATATGAGCAGAATCTTAATATTAATCAGAACAATGCTAAGGCTAATATAGAAACTAAACTGCAAAACAGGGTGATAAAAATATTAAAAACGGAACTAAGCGGAAAAAACAAAATTAAAGCTGTAAACACATGATGGTCTAACACTGACTTGGAGAGGCTGAACAGGAAAATAAGGACCCTCATGACAGAGCATAGAATTCACCATCCTAAGGCATGCACTGAAAGGCTATACTTACCAAGATCGACGGGCGGAAGAGGATTGGCTGACCTCAACATACTGCATAGGCGTCAAGTAAATCAGTTAAAGAAGTTCTTCCGCCGTAAAAAAGATACTTCGACGTTGCATAAGCTCGCTTGTCAGTCGGATAGATACTCAGCTGTAGATCTCAGAAAAAATGAAATAAAAGAGATACCAACACTTGATGAGGTAAAAGAGAAGTGGTTGAGTAAGCCCCTTCATGGACAATATCCGGCTAGTTTAAAAACTGCTGGGAGCGAATCAACAAATCGGTTAGTTAAGGGGCAGCTATTCGCTGAAACTGAAGGATTTATCACAGCTATTCAGGATGGAAGCATAGCGACTAGGAATTATAAGAAGTATATCCAAAAGATCAGAATAGATGACGATAAACGTCGTATGTGTGGACGGGTGCCAGAGACCATCGAACATGTAATAGCAGGATGTCAAACGCTAGCTCCGTCTGAATACACCAAAAGGCACAATTTAACAGCAAATATTGTACACCAAGAACTAGCAATGCTATGCAACCTAGGAGAGGGAAAATACAGTCCATATTTACCAATAGCCAGCAATAGACCAGACATTATTCTGCTGGATAAGGCTAATAAAAAGGCGTATTTCATCGACGTCTTACATCCCTCGGACGACAACCTGGAACAGAAAGAGAGAGAAAAAATTAATAAGTATTACGACTTGGCAGAGGAATATAAAAAAATACTCACCCTAAAAGCAGTACATGTTATCCCTGTAATTATATCGGCCACTGGGCTAGTTACCAAGAAGCTTGCAGGATACCTGGAAAGACTGAATATAACGAATAAAACCATCGTTAAAAAAATGCAAAAGTCCGTAATACTTGAAACTTGCAAGATCGTCCGAAAGACCCTGAATATCCCGGAGACATAAACCTTCCCCCCCCCCAACTTTAGTGACTGGTTAATAAACCCCACTAAAGCTGCTACCCTAATAAGGAGAAAAATAATAATAATAATAATAATAATAATAATAATAATAATAATAATAGAATAGAATAGAATAGAATTTATTGCCCATTCAGATACGTCACAAAAACAACAAATGGTACGTCAAAGGTTAACAATACAAAAGAATTTATATATATAATATAAAAGGTTGTACAAATTTTGAGAACTAACACACTAACGCAGTGGTCTATTCAAGTGTAGTATGTTTGATCAACTCCAAGTATTCATTAATATCATAGAAAGGATTATCAGTAAAAAAACTTTTCATTCTCTTTTTAAATTGTCTGTATGGTAGATTTTTTATATTATTTGGAAGAACATTATACAGTTTAACATTAATCTTATTGTTTTGTGAGGACGTCAGTCTGGAGTAAGGTGGGGTGATCATGTCAACATACCTAGTATTATACTCATGTCTATTGCCAAGTGTCCCATAGACATCCGCGTTTTCGTGAATATACAGGATAGATCGGTATATATAAGTAGAAGGCAGCGTCATAACCTGGAAGTCAGAGAAAATGGGCTTGCAGTGGGCAATCGGGTTGGCACCGCAGAGCACCCGCACAGCCTTCTTTTGCAAACGAAAAGCTCTTTCCGTATATCCAACCCCACCCCAAAGCACAATGCCATAAGACAGCACACTATGGAAAAGCCCAAAATAGGCTATCCTAAGGGCCGCCGGGGTTAGACAATGGCTGAGATGTCTCAGTAGGAACAGTCGCCGAGACAACGTTGCACAGACCTCATGAATCTGGCCTGACCATGACAATGTCAATTACGAATCCCAAGAGGGTTATATTATTTTGATACAGATAGTCGACTTTACTGCAGGAGAAGGTAAGTTCTTGAGTTTTTTGTTTATTGAGGACTAAGTTATTTGCAGAAAACCATTGCTGGAGAACATTTGTTGCTACGCTGACATCTTCACTAAGCATTCGTTGATGCTTAGCTGTTAACAGAATGGCAGTGTCGTCAGCAAACAAGGTGACATTCGCATCTGGCACGGACAATGGCAGATCATTTATATAAATGATGAAGAGCAACGGCCCAAGAACCGAGCCCTGTGGGACACCGCAGTTCACTGGAAGAGCACCATCACTCGACACTCCACCAAACTCAACATACTGAAACCTGTTACTAAGATACGATTTTATTAACTTTAGAGGGATACCTCTGACGCCATAAAATTTTAATTTGTTTAAGAGCACATCGTGATCGACGCAGTCAAACGCTTTCGTAAGGTCGTACAGAAGTGCCTTTGATACGTCGCCAGCATCGAAACCCCGCACCACACTGTTCACAAAGTGCATAAGTGCATGGGTCGTGGATTTCCCCTCACGAAAGCCAAACTGCGATTCACACAGAAGTTTATTTTCCTCAAAAAACAGTGACAGGCGAGCCTTCAGGGCTTTCTCAATGACTTTACCGAATATAGGGGTAATTGTAATAATAATAATAATAATAATAATAATAATAGTAATAATAATAATAATAAATAGCCTTTATTATAACAAAAAAAAATACAATATTAATATTTTTCAAAACAAAGTAAACAGATAGCTCAAAAGCGGCGCAGTCTAGCTTTAAATAGCTACTCTACTGAATCGCTGAAGGACTATTTATATAATTAATAAATTGCGCACTATTTATTGAAATAGAAAAAGGATGAACAACAAATAAAACATGAAAAATATCTGCAAAATCTACACACTACAGAAAATGCAATGAAAGATAAAGAATTTGATAAAAAATTCTCAAATGTCACTAATAGAAGCTATCAAAAACAAAGCTTCTGAAAATAACATAATATTTACACGTGCAGATAAAGGGAAGACAGTCATAGCTATCGATCTCCCAGACCATATTTCGAAAACCAACAATTTTCTTAAACCATCCATCCGTCCACTATACAGTGTGTCCAAGATAAGGATGCACAGCATGGGGATCTCGGAAACTATAAGAGATACAGTGTCGGTTAAATTAGACAAAAGTTGCGCATTTTGATACCGAACAAGATCCCGTTTTACAAATTTGAAAATTCCAAGCCGTTCCGGAAATATCCGAGAAAAACCGAAATATTGCGATTTCGTTTTTATTATTTTTTAAAGCTATTTGAAAAGATATGAAAAAACGGAAAACACTTTTCCATTGGCACTTTTTAATCTCTCCAAATTGACGTTAACAAATTTTCATTACAGCGTTTCGATTCCATGGAACCACCATCAACTTTGATTTTTCTTATGGGACGGAAAAAAAGTACACACAGTATTAGGTTGTGCTTTTCATTGCGAATTCAACGATGTACGATACAATATGGTTACTTATGTTTTTATCCAGAAAAATGGATTTTTAATACATTTCAGCATTTAAATGGAGTAGGCCATGACAAAATGACATCCAGTCAATTTCAATGACACATTAATGTTATTTGTCTTTGTTATCAGTCGATCATAAGTTTATTCCTTTAGTTATTGTTTTTGTATTTTTATTGTTGTTGTCTTTTTCTAATTTATTTTGTTCTACAATGGAGGGAGGTAATTTTACAAAGGAAGAAAAATGTGATATGCTGTCTTGCTACATCTGATGCCAAAGGAATTGTGTGGAAGCCGAGCGTATGTATTCTAACAAATACCCAGAGCGGAGACAACCTGACAAGAGTATTTTTCGGCGTTTGTTATTTAATCTGAAAGAATATGGATCATTTAAGAAGCCTGCATTATCCCGACAAAAACCTTCCAATGAAGAAAACCAATACATTGTTCTACAATCTGTTATCGAAAATCCACAAACTTCTACCAGAGAAATTGAAGACCAGAATGGGGTAGCTAAATCTACAGCTCAGTTTATTTTAAGGAAAAATGAATTTAAGCCTTACAAATTCAGAATATGTCAAGGATTAAAACCGGGTGACGACGAACGACGTAGACATTTTTGTGAGTGGTATACCAGGATGTGTGATGAGAGTTTTAATTTTCCATATAAAGTGATTTGGTCTGATGAAAGTATGGTGACCAATAACGGTATTTATAACAGGCGCAATACACACTATTGGTCGCAACAAAATCCACGTGTTAATAGACTATCCAGACATCAAGTTCGCTTTGGGTTTAATATTTGGTGTGGGATTTTTGGTAGCAAGATTATAGGCCCTATTTTCTATAATAATTCCTTAACTTCCGAGCGGTACCTTGACATCTTGATTCACGATTTAGAAGATGCCTTAGATGATTTACCGCT